GGGGGGTAAAGGGACATTTTAATCTTTTCCCGAACGGTTCGGGCCTAGACCCTTTTTCAGAAAAATGAAGAAAGGTCTAGGCCCGAAGCGTCAGCCTTCCTGCTCCTCAGATGCTGCTTGGCCTGCTGTGTTCATCCAGCTCTACACCTTGTTATCTCAGATTCTCCAGCATCTGCAGTTCCTACTATCTGTTTGTTTGTTTGGGAAGAAATTAATGGACCACTAATGAAACCTGTTATCCCAACAACACTGCTGAGGCCAGACACAACAGAAACCTTTGAGTCTGTTGTTGTCAATTTGAATTTGGAATAATTTTTGAAAGAAGGAGAGTCACATATAATCTAGCAAGTTACATTTGAGAAAATTGTAAGTATCTTATTGTAAGAAAAGTTGAACAAGCAAAGTATGGTAATGCTTGAAACCACACGGTACTAATGTTTGTTTCTGTTTTACAGCTGTCGTGAAAACACATTTTGTTGTTTACTCTGAACAGTAAAGATTTCTCCAGAGTTCCTGAATCAGCTAAGCAATTAACAAGTAAGCCATTGATCACAGTATACCAATTTATTCTGACTCTATGCATTCTGCCTATTAACCAGTCTTCAGTCCATCCTCGTATATTGCTCTCAATTCAATGTAATTTCATTCTATTAGTCTCCTGTGTGAAATGTTGTCAAAAGCCTTCTGAAAGTCTAAATATTCCACACTCACTGGTTTTCACTTTTTGATTGTGCTGGCAACATCCTTAAGGGACAGGTTTCTCAAACATAACTTCCCCTTAATAAATCTGTCTCATCTGTCCAATCAGACATTTATTTTCTAAATATCCAGTAATCATGTCCTTCCCAGTAGTTATGGAAAAGGATAGACCTGATCCAAAAGTTCAAGTTCTAAATTGGTGGAAGTCCAATTTTGACTGTATTAGGCAAGAACTTTCAAACATTGATTGGGACAGACAATTCACATGTAAAGGGATGGGTGCAAAGTGGGAGGCCTTCAAAAATAAGATAACGAGAGTCCAGAGGCAGTGTGTACCTGTAAGTGTGAGGCTGGTAGATGTAGGGAATGCTGGATGACTAAAGAAATTGAGGCTCTGGTCAAGAAAAAGGAGGAGGCATGTGGCAGGTATAGACAGCTGGGATTGAGTGAATCACTTCAGGAGTAAAAGTACACTCCAGAGGGAATTAGGAGGGTAAAAAGAGAACATGAGAGAACTTTGGCAAATAGGGTTAAGGAGATTCCAAAGAGATTCTACAAATGCATTAAGGACAAAAGAGTAACAAGGAAGAGAATAGGGTCCCTTAAAGATCAACAAGGCTGCCTACTTGTGGAACCACAGGAGATGGGTGAGATACTAAGTGAGTATTTTGTGTCAGTATTAATTGTGGAGGAGGATAGGGAGGCTAGAGAATTTGGAGAATAAATAGTGATACATGTTACAGGGGAGGAAGTGCTGGACATCTTAAAACGCATAAAGGCAGATAAATCCCCAGGACATGATCGGGTGTATCATAGAACTGTGTGGGAAGCCAGTGAAGTGATTGCTGGACCCCTTGCTGAGATATTTGTATCATTGATAGCCATGGATGAGGTGCTGGAAGACTAGAGGGTGGCTAATGTGGTGTCATTATTTAAGAAAGGTGATAAGGACAATCCAGGGAACTATAGACTGGTGAGCCTGACATCAGAGGAGGGAACATTGTTGGAGGGATTTCTGAGGGACAGGATTTACATGTATTTGGAAAGACAAGGATAGATTACGGCTGGTCAACATGGCTATTTGTGGGAAATCGTGTCTCTCAAACTTGATTGAGTTTTTTGAAGAAGTGACAAAGAAGATTAATGAAGGCAGAGCGGTGGATGTTGTATATATGGGGTTTAGCAAGACTTTTGACAAGGTTCTGTACAGTAGACTGGTTAACAAGGTTAGATGACATGGAATGTTGGGGGAAGTTAACCATTTTGGATACAAAATTGGCTTGAAGGTAGGAGATAGAGGGTGGTGGTGTAGGGTTGCTCTTTGGACAGCAGGCCTTTGACCAGCTGAATGCTGCAAGGATCATTGATGGGTTTGCTGATTTTTGTTATTTACATAAACGATTTGGATGTGAATATAAGAAGTATAGTTAGTATTTTGCAGATGACACCAAAATGGGGTGGGAGGTCACGGGGACAGTGAATAAAGTTACCTCAGAGTACAACGGGATCTTGATCTGATGGGCTGTGGAGTGATCAATGAGTTTAATTTAGATAAATGTCAGGTGCTGCATTTTAGAAAGGCAAATCAGTGCAGGACTTATACACCTAATGGTAAGGTCCTCGGGAGTGTGGCTGAACAAAGAGAACTTGGAGTGCAAGTTCATAGTTCCTTGAAAGTGGAGTTGCAGGTAGACAGGGTGGTGAAAAAGGCGTTTAGTATGCTTATCTTTATTAGTCAGTGCATTACGTGTAGTAATCGGGTGTTTTGTTGTGGCTGTCCGGGACATTGGTTTGGCCACTTTTGGAATACTGCGTTCGCTTCTGATCTCCTTGCTTTAGGAAGGATGCTGTTAAACTTGAAAGAGTGCAGAAAAGATTTACAAAGATGTTACTGGGGTTGGAGGGTTTGAGCTATTGGGAGAGGCTGAATAGGCTGGGGATATTTTCATGAACTGTTGGAGACTGAGGAATGACCTTTTTATAGAGGTTTATAAAATCATGAGGGGCAAGGTGAAAACCGAAGTCATTTCCCCAGGGTGGGGGATTCCAAAACTAGAAGGCATAGGTTTTAAGTGAGAGGGGAAAGAGGTAAAAGGGACCTAAGGGACAACATTTTCACACAGAAAATGTGTGAATGTGGTGCGTGTATGGAATGAGCTGCCAGAGGAAATGGTGGAGGCCGGTATAATTACAACACTTAAGAGGAATCTGGCTGGGTACATGGATAGGAAGGATTAGAGGTATATGGGCAAAATGTTGACAAAAGGAACTAGATTAATTTAGGCTATCGAGTCAGCATGGACAAGTTGGACCAAAGAGTCTGTTTCCGTGCTGTGCACCTCTATGACCCTAAACAAAGAAGGGTTTATTCACTGATTCTCATTGATTCGAATATTGCTCCTTTGATATTACACTTGGCTGAATGCAGTCTTTTGTCAATGTCAGGCACTCTCACCTCACTCTGGACTTCAGCTCTTTCTCGATGTTTGAACCAACACTGCAATGATATAATAAGAATCCTGGGGGTAAACCTTTGTTTTGGGATTTTCCATTAGTTAGCAAACATTAAACTAAACAGTATGATTGTGCATTTCTTGATAATTTCACTGTTACTCTTATTTTGTTTTTACTCTTGCTGTAATTGTGATCTGGGTTCAGATGATTGATAGGTGACAGGACTGACATTGTGGTTTGGTCCTTCATTCACAGAATGTTTTCTTGTTCTGAAAATTGGCAAAGAGGCCAAATGTCAGAAATCCAGCAGCGCTGAGAACACCCTTCTTGCTCCGTGGGAACAGGGAGATGGACTTTTCAAAACCTCCTAAAAACCCACATCTTCAACCAGATTTTGTCAGGCCTCCCAAGATCCCCTTTGATACATCATTTAATTGATCAGATTTGTAAATTTATGTTTCTGAGGTATATCTTGGGACAATTGCCTAACTGAAGGTGTGACATAAATGAAAGGTCTCTTTAAATCCGATTGAAACAGACTGGGAGAGCCAGTATTAAAACAATTGAAGGGTAAATGGAGTTGAGTCACAGATGAGATACGACCCTCAATTAATCATCCTTCTGTATTTTTTTTTTTTTTTTTTTTTTAAATCATCCTCTTCTCTTTCCAGGCATCGGGCCTCGTGGCTTCCGAACTCCCAGCTTCAACCTCCCGGCCTTGGATCTTGTGGCCTCCGACCCACAGCCTCGGAAATCTCAGCCTCAGCACAGACCCGACAAGGCATCCTCTCGGCCTGTTAATGCAGTCTGCTGGCCCAGCATGGCTTTGGCATGGACTTCTGTCTTGAGGTGATTCCAGAGCATTCTCCTGGTCTTGTGAACCCTAAGTTGAAGCTAGGTGTTGTCCGGAGTCAAGGCCCGGTGCAGACTGGAGGCTGAATGCCAGCATGGACTGCATCGGAAGACTGTTCTGAACTTTTTTTATTCTCCTTTTTATAATTTATTCCTAAAATCTGCAGTGCTGGACTGTTTTTTAACCTCTATTCTTCTAAAGAACTGTAACTGAAAAAGCTATACTTGGGGACCTTTGTACTTAAGATGGTGCTGTAAGTGACGACTTATACACTTAAGGGTCGCCAGACCCAAAACATTAACTCTGATTTCTCTTCACAGATATTGCCAGACTTGCTGAGCCTTTCTGGCAACTTCTGTTTTTTTGTTTCTGATTTACAGCATCTGCAATTCTTTTGGCTTTTATTTAGTATTTCATTGTATTCATTTGAGTACATGGGACAATAAAGCTAATTCTGATTCTGAAAGAAGAGATCTGAGTGAATCAGTGGTCCCTTCCTGTTCCTATATTCC